GAGCACTGGAACAGGCTGCCCAGGGAGGTTGTGGAGTCTCCTTCTCTGGAGATATTCAAGACCCGCCTGGACAAGGTCCTGTGCAGCCTACTGTAGGTGACCCTGCTTCGGCAGGAGGGTTGGACTAGATGACCCACAGAGGTCCCTTCCAACCCCTACCATTCTGTGATTCTGTGATTATACTGTGGCATCTCTATTTCAATCAATTGAACCTGCAGTGATATCTTACATAGTGCAAAGAATATCCAGTAATTAAAAACAAAGTCGAATAAGATCTACAAATCATGGAAAGCTTGGAAAGAGAAGGAAATGTAGAGTGTGGCAGACAGTTTCAATAAACTTTCATAATTTAATTTTAAGTACAGAAAACTCTGAAAAGAGGCCCATACCCAGGACTAACCTTTCAGATATGAAAGATGTAGCAGAATAGAGGGTGTGTAGGCACACTGAGAGACTACTAAACCGGTATGTTGTAGCAAAAATTTCTAAGCAGTAATAATCCACAAGTTCAGAATTAATTTAAGAATGAAAGGACAGAACTGCTAAAACACACGTATCGGGCAAGATTGGAAAGAAAATGTAGGTGACTAACATGGGACTTAGCAGGAATTTATGTACTGACATCTACCATAGTGTATCTGCTTTACTCTTCGCGGGTACCTAGAGTTAACGCTTCTAGACCTGTCCTCTACAGCTGCAACCAGACCATGTAGATCGGTGTTCAGGTTATTTATGTTTAATCAGAACTTGTAAAGTAGTCACTTCTCCAACTAGGACCCCCAGACAGCTCAACTCCAGGTGCATTTTCAAAGCAGTATATGATCAAGCCCCTTCTAAAATACAGGAGTAACAATCTGATTTGAAATGCGCCTGGAATCAAAGATGGTGGTGACGTTGTACGCCTTGACATCGCCCCACAGTATTTAAGAAACATACGCAAGAATACATTCAATTCTACCTTCTGCTTGACAGAGCTCCTCCCCCTCATCAGTCACTTGCCTAGACTTTTCTCTAATCAATAATTACATGTTATTTCACATTGTTCTGGTACCGGTGCCTTCTTCACCCATATGCCAAACTCACTACATTTTGCAGAACCCCTCATTTATTGGGCTTAAGAAGCTACTTCAACGTACTGGCCATGGGGGAAAACAGATGACAAAGACTAAACCAAAAAGCCGTCCCACAACTGGGATTCAGAACAACCTCCCTCCTCCTGGTGAGCGCATCAGCTACATGAGGTAGCATTAAAAAGTCAAACTTTAAATTTCTCTTCTGAGACAAGACAACTGGAGAGCAGTCAATGCTGTTTCTATAATGTGCTCTAACAGAAATCAGAATAATTATCTCTGTGAATCTTTTTTCTGTAGTAAGTTCAACATGAACTTAATTGGTTGAAATAACAACAAGCGACAGATTTCTGAGTTCCACAGATAAAAATGATACTACAGAAGGCCCTATATGAAGGAATATTCTGCTACTGCTTGAAAAAAAACCGCTTTTATTTGAACATGCCAAATCATGGAAGGAGCATACTTTCTTCTAGGTATTCAGGAAATAAAGTACCCATATATGAGAGGGCTGGTGCTTCCATTAAATTGAACCTAAAAGACAGAATTCAAGGAGAAGAAAAACACGGTTCATTTTCACTATGCAGGAATATATATTGAGGTGACAATACCAATCTGTGCTAAAAGAGATGTTTCACATATTTATTAAAAGTCAGTGGACAGAAAGGTTGAGAGAGGAGCAGGAGGTGATCTGACAGAGGTATATAAAGATAAAAGCTCCTGAAAGGTAAAGTGGATGTCTTTATTCTTTCTCATAATAAAAGAGTAGCAACCACCTATAAAAATGAAAAGGCAAACAAGCTCCAATAAAAGGAAATACTTCAATATTTTCCAAGTAAATAGCTCCGTGAGATTAAAATCGTGTATTAATAAAAATACTGCCCTAAGTTAGGATAAACCCCTGGTGTTTCAGGACACAAGGCACCCACAAACCACTTTCACTTGCAAAGCAAACTCCTCCAAACATGTTGTTTAAAACTATCCATTATAAGATTTCTTCCACGGCATCTGGTTCAGACATATCTGTGACAGTGTAGCTACTTGAGCAAGAGTAAGCTTGATCTTCATGAAGTAATATAACAGAGAAATGCTTCTTTCCAATTGGCACAATAAGTAGAGGAAGAATTTCACAAAACAACAATTTATTTGCTAATTCAATAAACCTCTGTCTCTCTTTCTCTTCCTGACCCAACTAAGAGAAATTAATAATTAAAATATTTTCTTGTGTTGCATACACAGCAAGCCTTGGAAGCGAACAGACAATAGCCTGAGCTCTCAGGCTGCAGGAGGCAACTGGGAAGGACACTGGTGCTTGAGGGGAAAGCCTGTATCTTGGCTATTGTATTTTTGTGCTGAGAGATGTACAGGTTTTAAAGGAGAGATACATTTGACCTCATTCCACCTCTCCTACCTAGAACCGGCACTATCATGGAAGGATTTGCTCTAATTGAAAAAAGCTACCCATCATGTCTGTTAACTGTAACTATCTGAAGACTCAAAATGAAAAGCTATGATAATAAAAACTAAACAAAACACAGGTAACAGACAAACACCTAAATTTTTTTACAAGGTACTTCCTTCTCAAGTAACATTTTCCTTAAGCAACTATGAATTATCTTCCTTTCCAACACAAGAAAACGAAAGATACTAAGATTTAACAGAACAACATCTATCTTCTCAAAGAGAATTTTAACCTACAATTTGTGTTTAAAACAAATGTTCTGACATAAGTTAATTTTCTTAAAATAACCCAGACTAAAATCTTTCTGCATAAAGGCTTCAAGCTGATATATACTGGGATTTTTTGTGAGGGAAAAGTTATCCACAATATAGATCAAAAATGTAGCTGATGGCTGTCTCACTAGACCTCAACTGTCGAGTGCAGCTTCTGCTCTGGACAGCCTTGAGAATTTGTCAAGAAAAGGCTAAGATCTCTGAGCACTCAAGCTGCCAAGTGCTCTCAAATTAAATCAGTTTGAAGCGGTTTTCATTAAGATGGATTGAGTGTGGCATCGTGAGAAACACTCTATCAAATGTAGTGTTTTACTTAGTGATTAAGTATATACCAGCTGATGAAGCTACCCAAATCCTTCGTAATCCCACCACTCCAATAAACATTTAATGAGTATATAAGTTCAAAAAGCCTAGCAGAGGATTTAAACCTTCAATCTTGTTTTTATTTACTCTTGGAACTCAATTTCTCACTTGAAGTGAAGAATGCTGGAGCCTGAAGCTCATCTGTTGCCCTGGTAAAATTAAGTGCCCTCCATAGTATAAATTAGAAGACAAGACATACAGGTTGCAATTTCTCCTCAGCTTTTTTCTTATACTGATACACATACTGAATTATTTTATGAAACTCAATTATGAAAATACAAAATAATGTACCCCTTTCCTCTTTTATGAATTCCAGGAGGCAGCACTGAAAGAAATTGGTTGTAACAGGAAAAATGCAGTAAAAATAAGTGGTATTTACAAATTTTCCTTTGTTTTAAATCAGTGTTACAATAAAAATAATGTCATTCCACTGGGTAGTTGGGGAAGGGCTTTCAAAAAATTCAGGCAATATTTGGGGGAATCCAAAAAAGTAATACTTTCCTAAGCATATGTAAGTTTATTCTGATGAGAATCTGGTCTAAACACATTGCAAAATATTAGAAATGTAAGGTGATATGAATTTCAGATGTGCTAAGTACGTAGTATATCAAGTACATTGAGTATTAAAAAACAAAATAACTGCACTGCATTAACATCACATTTTCAGGTATAAAAAGAAATATTATGAAAGCTTCTAATGGGCTCTCTTCCATTATTACACTGATACACTGTCAACCATTTCTGATGAAATGACACAAAGTGAACTTTCGAATTCAAACACTTCTCTTGTTGAATTAATAATCTGATTTCTTTTAAATGTGCACTAAGTTCCACTTCAGTCGGTTATTACAAATTAACACTTTGCCACTGAATTATTCTGTATTCGTTTATGTTCTGAAATCTGCACAAAGACGTGAAAATATTCACTAGAGTGTGCACAACATTAAGTATGTGTTAACTCAAGCTATACAGTGTAGCTTCATAACACTGCATGCTTAGCATAACAGCCCCTAACATAAGATAGCTGTTCCTTCCAATATGAATAACTACAGGAAGCCAAAACATTCTTCACTTTAAAATTAAATATCTACCAAGACAACAGAAAAAGTAAATTTAAACAGCATGATTTTCTTGTTTGTGTTTCAGCTTTATCTATGCTTAATTATGCAGGGGTATAGGTTTCTCCTTAGTGAATTCAAGTCACCAAAACTTAAATAAACTATCCCCATTCTAATTTTATTAAAATACTGACTTTAAAACTGTGCACGGAATAACAGAAACTTGAGATGTCTGGCTGGATGTACAGAAAAACTAAATAACCAAACCCTAGTACTGGAATTTACTTGGCAGATAAAGGCTGTACAAAGGGAAAAAAAAAGCACACACTATTTCAGACACCTTTCAATTTAAATTTACAATTTCATTAGCTATCCTTCAAAGGAGTTACCAACATGCAACGTTGAACTTGTCAACCCCAAGACTCACAGCCAGTGTTATGTGGTGCTAAGAATCCATTATTTCAGAAAGAAAAGGGTGGGGGAAAAAAAAAAAAAAAAGAGTAGCTCTGATAACTAAAGGACTCCAGTAAAAATACAGCCTGAATTATTAGAAAGCATGAGTTATTCACTGTAATTTCAACAATAACCGAGGTATTTTAGCCAGTCAACTAAACAAGTATAACTCCTCACAAATGAAAAAATCAAGACAACTCCAAAATGTAGCTTACCTTTTTTAAAATAAAGATGAAATATTTACAGTGATTTCCATTTCCCCCCTATATTAAATACAGAATTTCAATACACACTTACATCTCTAGCTTTCCCATAGAAGGCTTCTTGAAAAGCAGCCTCTAATGATCCAATAAAATAAACAGGATGGCAGTCACCATATCTACATGAGATAAATTTCTGATTAATAACAAATTACGAAAATAAGTAATTTCAATATTCTGCTTCTTCATATACTCTATAAATACATTGGCCGAACCTTTAGAAAGATTAAGTACTACAATTCTAAGTATTTCCCTTCTGTCCTTTAAAAGCCATCTGTTCCCCAGCATTCAACAGCTCAAAGTAACTAACTGCCACCTTATAAATTTTATTGTAAAAACTTTCTGGTTACATACACCTTAAGTCCTATATAATTTTTCAATCATAACTTATTATTTCCTCTCTTTATTATATTCTTAAAGGTTAATTGAAGGCTATACTTGTATTACAAGTTAATGCATCTCATATATAAATGAACACAGTGGAGTGAAAACAGAAGGCATATAAACTTTGCAGAATATTAGTTTGCAGCTTCTACCTATTTGCTGAAACATGGCAACTGTTTAACAATGCATGATTTGGTGGTACAAAGGTAAAAAAAAGCAGCACTTCTAGATTTTTTAAAAGTAGAGATTTATCCAGCCACTCATTTATGTGAAAACTCCTATTGCAAATACATATATATTTTTCCATATTAATCAGTTTCGGCTTTTCTATTCCTGTATATCATATTAAAATTGCTATACATTATCAGAGTCTTTATCATCCTTCTAGACCCTCACATAATTAATGATATTAATTAGTGGCAAATTAAATAATGCAAGAATCTGTCACTAATTTGGACTGAGAAATAATTCTATTTCAGAAACAGTGATAACATAGTTAAGCTTAAAATAAATTAGATTAGGATGCCTGAATATGCTATGAACCCACAAGATAATATGTACATTTGGTTTATTTTTATTTTCATTATTTATTAAATTTTATTAGTTTGTAACAAGAAATGCACAGTTAATAGCCTAAGCTTACCTTGAAGAAAACTCTGCTGTAAATTGTAATAAGGCATCCCCTTCATTTTCAGCATTTTCTGGCACTTAAAAAAAAGAAAAATATAAATTAAATGCAACTTTATGGAAACAGATTTTAATGTGCAAACTCACTTGCTTCATAGGTTTTTTTATGCTGACAGCTTACTGAAGTGGTTACAAAGAGACCATATAAATTTCATGAAAGACTATGAACCTTTGGAAAGACATGAAATTTCCAGACGCTCTCATGAATATATTCAGGTTTTCCAAACAGTAAAATCCTCAGGTCCAGTGTAATGTGATATATCACTTGTTCAGAGTTAACACTCTGGACTTACTTTAATACATGAAAATGAAAGGACTGGCTCTGATTTTTTTTTTTTTTTTTTTAATTTTAAACTTCCTGTTAAAAAGTTTTCCATAAAATTACATATATTTGCTGTCAAAAAAAATTCTAAGGTAATAACACTAACCCAAGCCTGAAGTGAATACAGAGTATACAGAATTGCATATAGGAGGTAACTGACTGCTCCTGCACAATCCTTTTCATAATTCAAGGCCAAATGATCCCTGAGAAAATTGCTTAATGTAAATGACTAAAAATATTAATCACCACAAGATGCTGAAGCTAAAACCTATAGAATTTTCAAAACAGGGAAGTGGAAATCCAGTTATCTAGAGGGACATTTGCTTAGAGATCATACTTCTCTGAGTTAAATTATTATTCTTCAACTATAAGCTAAAATCATAAGGCCAAAAAACTTCCTCCATGGGAAGATGCTTTCATAGTTGCCAATTACATTTGCAGTATTTTCATTTGATACACACGTCAGACATTCTCTAATGCTCCTATCAAAAGATACTTTCCTGTTTCTTTCTATGAAGGCCCATTGTACTCCTCTGCATTCACTAGCGCTGTACAACCGCCAGTTAATTGCAAATTAACCATCAACTCTTACTCATTGGCGATTTCCTCAAGGCAGATGATGCTACTCCAAACATTTCTCCATCATCAACTCCAAACTCTGTAGCATCTTCAAAGTCATCTCCATCACTGTCACTAACCATATGCACATCAGTGCATTGCTATATAAAAACAAAAAACAAAATCCACCGTAAGCCTCCATTACAGACATCTTCAGTGAAATATGAAGTACACACATACTGAAAACTACCTGTACATTTCTATAAAAACACTTGATATACTGCATTTCATTTTACTATTCTATACAACATTATCAGATTGCTTTTTATAAATAAGACCTAATTTTTACCAGAAGTCTGGCTGGCAAAGCAATATTATGTGACAGAAAACATTATTAAATAACAAATGAACTGGCTCTGCATAGACATAGTTGAGCAAATCTTATCCAAAGTTGATGCTATTCTCCATCTAACGGTACTACAGCTGCAGAAGAAAGAGTGAGAAAAGCCACACAATCTATCAATAATTTCAGACATCCAGATACAATCTACTTTAGCAATACCTGCATGGTGGGGGACAGTCCTTGGAGAGGCACCTATCTACTGCATTGCAATTGCTGACATACAGATTTAGCACCCGTAGTCCTAACTTGGCACGCCAGACTGCTGTGTGTTGAATGACAGGCTGATTTATTTGGCATACCAATACAAAGAAGAAAAATCAACATTTTCCTTGCAGGAGCTAAGGTCCCATCTGTGCCTCCAATTCCCACCGTCAGATCTTTTGGATTTCCTGTCCTCTGAAACATAAAACAGCTCAGAAAACCTTGGTTTTAACTATTCACTGCTAACTCACTGCTACACTGACTCCTTTTTCAGGAACAACTATTCCAGCTCCACTTGATCTAGGAGCTACGGTGATAGCACACCTACAGAAAATTTACATAAATCCCTGAAGGTGCAACAAAGTCTATTATGGAACGTGAGACTCCATCTCCAGCATACAAGTGACCACGAGAGAAGCAAAGGGCTCCAAACCACGCTGAATCTCTCCCTAAAACAGCTACGCATTAAGAGCTTCAAGAAAAGAATGTTTTCTGAATGAACAAGTCCACAAGAAAATTCTACAAGTTGGACAAACTCAGATAATTTTTAAAGAATGAAGTAAAGAAGCAATGATAGAGTGATGCTGGCAGATCCCAGGAGAAAACAGTCACCATTTATGCAACCTGCTAAATGGTTCAGGTATAGCTAGAACAGCATTGTCTCACCATCCTCTCCTTTTCAACAACCACCCAACAGCTTACACCCAGGCTTGCATCCCAACCGTCCCTCACAGCTATGTCTTGCCAAACTCAACTGAGGTGAACAGATTGAAACACATCTTTTTTGTGCAGCAAGATAAACCTTATGTGCTATAGTCCTCTAATAAGAAAAGTGTGTGGAAAATGGGGAACTGCTTATATTAAATTCCTGTTGAGGAAGGACAGAGGCATTGGAAATTTTAACCTAATTAATAGTGAGAAACAACAAAACGAGAGTTTATACAGTCTGCAAACACCTCCTTCTGTTAAGCCTAAAAATATGTGTTTCAGCCTTCTGTTTAATTTGCAGTACTTTTCAGCGCTTAGTAACTTGTGACTTGCTTACTCTGTTTTTCCTCTTTTTCTTCAATGACTCTTTTACCCAGTTCCTTACTTTGTCACAATTACACGTTATAGGAATCATAAACCGGTTCTTTTAAGATGCAATTCTACTGACGTATTTGACAACAGAAGGGATGGTGACCATGGCAAAATGAACTTTCCCTGCTTCTTCCCAGAGTATACTTGTCATATAAAGATGATGGTCTTACCTCCTCTGACTGTTCCCTCGTTTGTACGGGTGAAGATCTTCTTCCAACTGTAAGTCGATGGCAAGGAAAAGTCAGTCCCGATACAGCTAGAGTCATCTACAAACAAAGCAATGATCGTTCATTAAAGCCATAGCCTCAATCGAGAGTCGTTTTCTTTTCAAGGGTGCTTTGAGATTCAAACTGAAAACTGCACTGCAGAAGATCAAATTAATTATACAAACATAAAGAAAGAAGCCTGGAAAACTAAAATGATTCCTTATGTAAAAATATTCAAAGAAACAACAATGGAGTTTTACAGGTGTGTATGCACAGAGTATAAAAACAAACTAAAAAGAATTGCAAACTCAAAACTGTCTTGAATTGTTACTATCTCCTAAATCAGTACTGAAGTTTAAACCACTATTTGCACCTGACAACTTTTACAGTGGCATGCCTCAATGAAGTAAACGCAAATTTTTCCTTCCTAATCAAAAAGCAAATGTTAAAGTGAAGATGATAGGTACTGATACAACTAATTAAAAAGTTAAGTCATCTTGAAAAAAAAAATTATCTTGAAAGAACAGTTTATTGCCAGTCATTGTAAAAGACACAGTCAAAGTGGCTACTTAAAAAAACCATTTCATCTCCATCTTGGTCGTTATGTCAAAGGCACATGCCATGTTTCTCCCGTGAACAGGGACACACACAAACCCAGAAGTGCCAGTGAAATTGCAGTCAAAGACGGGATAGATGTTCATTAACCAGTGCCAACAGAAATAGCACTTTTGCCTCTTGCTGTATGCTTAAATCTTAACTTTTTAAAACTGACAGCAAACGAAAAATGGCTAGCGTCATTTGAAAGACAGAATTATTGGGTGCCTGCAGACACACAACAATAACATTTGAAGTTCTGAGTACATTTAAAAAGGTACTAATTGATATGACTACAAATGAGATTTGTCCACTCTTCTATGATTAGAACCACCTGTGCCATCCTTGCACCTCAAGCACCCTTCACATGCTTTATCCAGCGTAAGGGTGCAGCCAGCCTTCTGCCCTCTTCTGGAAAGTGCATCAGTCCCGGTCAAGCAAGGTTAATGACCACAAGTGGAATCTTCAGAACCACCTAAATCCTATCTTGATAACACGTGGGCTAAATTTACAATGGGAATAGCTCTTAAATAAAGATAGCTGATTCATTTTGGCAACAACAAAATATTTGATGCTGTACAATTCTCAGTGACATTGAGAAAGAGAGTTCTGGCTGCATGTTTAAAATATTGTTTCTAACGGTTCCTTCAGAGGAAACATACAGAGGCAGAAAAAGATTTTCTAGATCCTATAAAAATGACTAGTGTTTTTTCAGGGCGCAGTGTTAGAGATTGATTATAGAGAAGATTGATTATGACTGTAGAATAGAATAAAATCATAGAACTAGAACATAGATTCAACTGTGTGAATACAGGTGTGTTAAGAAACCATACAATCGGTATGCTGCTGTCAGTTAGCCCCCATATAGGCCTTATCATGGTGGGGTTAAAAACCAACTGACCTAGCATTAGATAAGAATAAGGTGTAGAAAGATTAATGTCATAACTCATTAGGTTAAATTTTAGAAATAGGAGTAAGTTTAATAGAACATCTTGAAGTCTCTCAACATCTTTCTCAGGATTGTATCGAACAGAATTCACAGAAAAAGATGAAGGACAGACGATGACCCCAAGACCACCCTGAAACAAGCGAGGGAGAATTCTACTAAGACAGAAGAATAGAGAGAACTTTATAAATGATGTACTTAAAGAAACAGAATGGTTGCTTAGAAACTTATGAAGATTCTAGACTTCTTGTAATCGGTTTAATAAATGTATATAAACTGCTCTAGCGAGTTGAGCTCTGCCACTCACGGAGGCAATGGCCCATCTCTGAGTTGGGAATAAAGCAATACCTAGAGTAACCCACTCGTGTGACAGTAAAATTCTTAACACACAGAATGAGGCACACCATGAGTTCCAGAAATACAGCATCCTCCTAATCAGACTGTAAAAACATTAAGGTGATATAAATCACAGTCATCCTCAACAAAAATCCAACAATAAATCATAAGCCTTAAATTTCGTCTACTGCCATGAGCACTGAAAATACCCCATTTATTTTTACACATAATTCAGAATGACTTTATCACTTGTCTGCTAGAACTCACAAAGATTTAATCTGCTGCAGGTTGAAGCAGGCTGATTAAGCGGCTGGCTACCAAATGAATGTTAACCTGTCTGAACTAGCCTACTGTCACATCCTCATAGCAAGGTTAAACAGAAGTTTAGCTGCATAAAAAGTCTAGCTATCTTCTTAAAGGAAGTGAGTAATAATACTCTGGCACAAATGAAATATTAAAGACGACATGCAGGTCAAGACCAATTATCCATGAAATTCCTGTGACAAGACTGTAAGAACTGTATATTCCGTAATAATCCACCAGTTTAATTAGTATTTTTATAAACTTTTAATAATAAACCAAACTCAACCGTAAAACCTGAAACTTTGCCCTGTAATTACCACACTATATAAAATCTTAGTAAAACTTACACACATGCTCACTAACTGCACACAGACGAAGTTCCCTATCTAACAGTATCAAATACGCTGACAGATGCTTGGAAAGGCTCCCGATATCTTTTACACAGGCACTGAAGAACGAGTGGTAAGACCAAGCAAGCACTTATTGTGCTGCTTCATCGCTTGGCCCAATAGCAGGGTGTTGCAGTTCCAATTTGCAACCCTACATTATAGCGTCAAAGTGTCTCAAGAATGAGCTAATAGCAGAAGGGGTTCGACAGAGCACATTTCATCCTATTCCCCAGACAGTTACTGGAATGTTGGGTTTTGTGCATATTTGTGTGAGAAAACACCCTTCTTTGACTTTTTTTTGAGAAATTTTTTGCAAAGGAAGGGCTAAGACAAATCGAAGCTCTGTCTTTCATTTCAGAGTAAGCCAGCAGCATGAACATTTCTCTAGAATTAAGTTATCCTCATTCTAAAGGAGAGAGTCCCTTCTCAAGAGAGACTCTTGCACCAGAAAGTTTCATCTTTATTTTGGAAATCATAAAAACATCAAAAGATTACTTTCCAGGCAGCTCAGTCCGGTGCCATGGATAGCAAACCTCAACTTCCACAAATATTTTGAACACAGAGCAAATTTCTGATGGGAAGCATCTCAGTGGCAAGAACTGTTTAGACACCAGGCTGCTCTTGGAGAGTTTTTTTTCTTTCTAAATACTGCGTCTGCCTACACCCAAACAAGGTTGCGGTACATTAGATATACGAATCACTGTGTTGCAGCCATCTTCCCATGGGAACAGACAAAATCTTCTTACTGACTCCAAAACTGACAATGCTGGTTTGTCGCCTGAGTACCAGTTTACCCATATTCCAACTCATAAACCCATCTGATTGCACAAACACTCAATAATCACTAACTTTTCAGTGTATTTTCTTTCCCTGCATGAAAATCACCATTATATGAGTACCATATCTTGAATTGGTTGACTTTCATGTACACAAAAACAGATATTGAAAGATGCATATGCAGGACTCTTGGCACCAATAATGAGTTAGATATAGATTACAAGATAAATAATACACTCAAGCAAAATTAAGTAGGCTTATTCCATCTTTCTAGGCAGCAAATGTACACACGTGCAAGTCCCAATTCCAAAGGTCTCACAGCTGAATGGCACATGAGGGTGAAAGGGCAACAGAATCAGAAACAGGCAAAACGACTTGCAAAAAGCCATTCCAGGCAATTACTGAAAAGCCAGATCTCTTGTCCATCACTGTGTATAGACTGGTCACACTTGTTAGAAGTTTAAAGAGTCTTCCATTTGGCTTCCTGTAGCTTGTTAAGGAGGAGGACAACAAAACTGAAGCCTCAGAACATTCCAGGGAGAGTGGCAGTAGAAGAATCCTTTTAGGAGACAGCACAGATATTAAAACAAATGTATTGCTACTGGCATGCAAACAGGCAATGGTATGACCTGGACTAAAAGTGCACAATGGGTACTTGAAATAGTATTTTAACTACTAAAAGAAAGACTGCTACGAAACTTTACAATCTAGAGAGAAAAGAAATGAGCCTAATGCTCACCTGTGCTTTCCAACACAAAGACACTGAATTTATTTGTAAACATTCAGTGTAAGATGATTTGTATTTCAACTGCCAGCATTAATAATTGGGGGATAAAGTTAAGCAACACCTTTTCTGATGTGAACATGCAGGACTCTTTGCCAAGAACTTTCCAGATCAACCTAGAAATATTTGCCAAATCCGGAGTGAGACCAGGTGCTTCAAATAATAGATTATTCTTCCTGTTAGAAAGTATCATTGTTATGTAGAAGCTTCTAGAAATGTGCTTTAGAACAATCTAAAAAGACTATTTTTTCAAATATTTTATAATAAACATATGCCTGAAGCAGAGAAAGAAATCACGGAGAGCTTGTAACTCCAGAGTGCTGCTGGCGCGTGCTCAGAATATAGGAAAAACGACGGGTCCACAATCTCAGAAGCTTGCATTCTTCTAGAAAGACTTTGTTGGCACAACTTCATTCCCACTCTTTCACACTTCTGAAACTACAAAGGAAGGGGCAAACTCAATCTCTTGCACCAGTCCAGAGATATTTAAACCGGACACTGAAGATCTGAGAAAGACCAATAGTAGTAGGAACATGAAGGAATGATAACCAGCAGAGGACTGCAGCTGCAGAACTCTCTCCACTGAGAAATGCTGATATAAAAATTACCAGCTCAGTGTACTGTACAAGAAAGTAGTAACAGGATATGACAAACCGGTCTTCCTCATACTCAGCCACATGCTGATGGAGAAAACAGCACTTCAAAGGAGCTTCTAATGGCAACTGTATCTACTGAGGAAAGTATAAAGGCAAGCGTTAAGAGCTTTCTAATACCTTACAGAATGCAGTTGGACATCCAAAGTGCCCAACTTGATGCAATAACCTGTAAAGAACTGGACCTTGTTCCTTATCCTCAACTATCACCATCATTCTGGAAACGCTCACTCTTTGCTCCATGTAAATACAGAAGCAAGTCTCTAGCAATCCAGTAA